CACTTCAACTGACTGGAGGTCCAATATCGAGTCTTCATATTGTCTTAATTTGAAAGACACAGCCGGAACGCGTTATGGTATGCATATCTAACTATAGCTTTTAACAGTGATTGTGACTGATATCTGGCTTTATATCTAGACTCAAGTCAATTTTGCCATGTCCTCTGTATGAAACAGATCTTTGACGACCCTCTCCAAGTTGATGAAACCCAGCTACCTGAAGATGGAAGGTGGCATCTACCTGACCGGTCTCCTTGGAAATGCCGTGAGAATTGAGTGGTCCGGCAGAGCGATTGAAGACTAGTTTCATTTTTGCGGCCTGACATTCCACAGCACTTGTTACAAAAAGTACGATGAAGCTTACAAAGCCTGGGAGGAAGAATGGAGCATGAGGAGTATTGAACACCAGATAAGCCACAACATGACAGAAGACGAGGATAAGCGTGTACCATGCCCTCCTGGGCCAGAATCAGAGGAGCTTAAGAGGGGTGACTATTTTCCTGAGGAGCCAGCCCCATACTCCCTGAGTGACGTCTTAGCAGATGTACGTGGGATGTCAAATATTGATGGACTAGTTCGCAGGAATCCCACAAAATCAAAGAAGGCCTAAACTTACATGTTGTGACGGCGCTTGCCCTGGACCTCACTACTATTAGGTCTAGCCAAAAGGGCTTACTTCTTCTCTTAAGCTTCGAATCTTTGTGTATTGCATTCTACTTGTATAAGTGGCATCATTACACATATGATGTACTGGAAACTATCTGTAAATTTTACATTAGATTGAGTAGTGGCAGCGTGACCCCCCGTCAGCTGGCCATGGCTTTCTGCAAACATGCAAGCCCCTCATCCCGGACATCAAAATCATAGCCCAATCCTTCAAATTCCCTTCTTCCACAGCATCGTGTCTTTAGACAACGTGTTGGGTTACCTTTCGCTGTCGGGACACTATCCTGTCCCACTCTGGTTCAATCGCCTTTGCAATTATCTCGTCCAGATCTTCGGCAAAGCAGGTAACTTGATATCCCCATCTATCGCCCCTCTTCACTTCCGTAGAGATAACCTAGATGGCCTGGACAGCCAGATCAGCGTTCAAGCATCGAACACTTCATTGAATGAGTTCGATACTGAGCTGGAACATCTGAACGTCGTGGAGGTGGTTGACATGAGCAGTCGCGGCTCCACCGACCAGAATGGTGTTGAGCCATCCAGCGCCCGTGTCGCCGGCGTGATCTAAAGGTAGGCGCCCTTCATTCAAGTGAAAATCTCCTGGGCCATCTGC